TCCAGATTCTGAGCTGTCAGCACAGAGCCCGACTTGGGACTCGAACTCACAGACCAAGAGATCATGACCTGGGCTGAAGTCGGCCGCTTAACCGACTGAGCCACCCAGGGGCCCCATGCCTGCTGCATCTAAACTCAGAGGGACAGAGATGCCCTGCCAGCGACCTCACCCCCTCTCCCACCTAAATGTGCCATCTGTAAACACCCAATGAAGGAAGTGCTACAGACAATTTTCAAAAAAAGGTAAAATCATGACTCCTACGCAGATATAAAATGAACATGTATCAGATAATGTAACTGGCTCAAAGAGGCAACAGAGCATTCACATGTATAGGCCGGGAATATTGAAATAAATGTGCAAATGGAGGCAAAACTAGTTATTTACAAGGGGGCAAAGGGGTCTATACCAGACAAGATAGGATTAATTGATCCATTGCCCACAGTTTACAGTTGTAAAATAATAATGAAAGGCTAGGGGTGCCTGGCTGGCTCAGTAGGTAGAGCATATGCCACCCTTAATGTCAGGGTCGTGAGTTCAAGCCCCATACCAGGCATGGAGCCTATTTAAAAAAAAAAAAAAAAAAAAGTAATGAAAGGCTAGAATCTTACCCCGGAAGGGTGTGCTGGGTGCACACATAGTTTTCCACTGAAGTACACATTTTCTGCAGAAGGAGGGCCATGAATAGGTACACTCCGTGGTCTGTAATCTGGTGATCATTCACGAGATGAGTATGATTCACACACTATGAATGATGCAAGGTCCTTTCTGAAAGAGTTGGGGAAATTACTTCTCACTTGCAAGTGAGAGGCCTGTAGCCTAAAAGATGAGGGGCCCAAGACATTTAAGGGTTTTTCTCAGCGGGAGTTTTTTTTGTTTTGTTTTTTTTGTTTTTTTTAAATAGGCTCCATGCCCAACATGAGGCTCAAACTCATGACCCTGAGATCAAGAGTCATGTGCTCTACTGACTGAGCCAGCCAGGTGCCCCTGGATATTTTTTTTTTTTTTAAGTATAGTTGACACACATTTTTTCAGCTGGATTTAGACATCTGTGTTACACAATGGGTTCTGGAACATTCTAGAATGTGTTTGTGATGTGGCCTGTAGTTTTCACTCGACCTGTGGTACTGACTCTGCCGTGCAGCCCTGGGTAATTACACCAACTCTCTGATGTTCAGCTTCCTTGTCTTTGAACTGGGATGTTAATTGTGCCTACTTCATAGATTATTTTTTTTAATGAGTAGCCATTCACCTTATGAGAACTGTATTTTATTTTATTTATTTACTTTTTAATTTTTTTGTTTATTTATTTATTTTGAGAAAGAGAGAGAGTGTGAACAAACAGAGGGGCAGAGAGGAGAGACAGAATCCCAAGCAGGCTCTGTGTCATCAGCGCAGAGTCCGATGCGGGGCTCGAACTCACAAACTGTGAGATCATGACGTGAGCTGAGATCAAGAGTCGGATGCTTAACTGACTGTGCCACCCTGGTGCCCAAAGAACTGTATTAAAAATTTTTTTAATATTTATTTTTTTCTGAGAGAGAGAGAGAGAGAGAGAGTGTGTGAGCAGAGGAGGGGCAGAGGTGGGGGGGGGGGGGCGGGAGACACAGAATCCGAAGCAGGCTCCAGGCTCTGAGCTGTCAGCACAGAGCCTGACGCGGGGCTCGAACTCACAAATCGTGAGATCATGACCTGAGCCGACGTCAGACACTTAACTGACTGAGCCACCAGGCACCCCCAGAACTGTATTTTAAATGGATAATACCATTACTTTGAAAATATCCTGTGGTTACACTGGGGTTCTTCCCTATCAGCCCAGCCTTCTCTCCCCCTTCATCCTGATTCCCTTCTCTCCATGAATCTCTTATTTCCACCATTCGTGTCTCTAGCAGAGTAGGGGGCAGCATTCGGTTGCTGTGGAGGGGCTGGCACATGCTGGTGCCTCTTGACACATAGGTATGGCTTTTGAGTAAGGAGAACCCTGTAGAGGAGGTGACGAGCAGAAAGGCTCAGTGTTACCAGCAACCTCATGCTGTCCTTTGTCCCGCCTATGTGCTTCCTGAGTCCAGGCTCCCAGGCATCAACGTGGAGGGCTGGCAGCGTGGGAGTTCCCAGATGGGACCCTCCTAGCAGGTGGGAGTTTGGGCAGATGAGGAATTGTCTCCTGACATGGGTCTCCCTCCTAGAGGGTGTGTTTCAGTTGCAGTAATTTCACAGCCACACGGTTCACTCTCTACTTGTCCAAGCCATTTTCTTCTCTCCTCTTCACTACAGCCACGTGCAGGAGGCAGACAGGGATTATTGCTTCTGGAGAAACTGAGGACCCCATCAGGGGCGTGAGAACCTCGGCGCCCCTGTGCTCCATGCCCAGTTTGCTAGCCCATGCTGCCCCCTGGTGGCCGGGCCCAGCACCTGCCTTCAAGAAGTCTTGGTCACCTAGCATTTCCCTGGGTTTGCAAAGAGCAATGGCCAGCCTTCATGAGCAGCCTGATCGGGAGGATGACCTCTCAGGACCCCTACGTCACTTTATTTTATTCTTTTAATTTTTTTAAAAGTTCCTTTTGAGAGCGAGAACGGGGAAGGGCAGAGAGAGAGAGAGAGGGAGAGAGAGAATCCCAAGCAGTCTCCACGTCGTCAGAGCAGAGCCTGATGTGGGGTTCAAACTCACGAACCGGGAGATCACGACCTGAGCTGAAACCAGGAGTCCAAAGCTTAACTGACTGAGCCACCCAGGTGCCCCTCAAGACTCCTACATCACTTTATCAGCCCCTCTCCCTGTCTCCGAGCATTAAATATATTCACGCATATATTTAATTGCAAAATATATATAACATTACGTGAATCATCATAACCATTTGTAAGCATGTACAGACAGTTCAGTGGCTTTTTTAAAGCACCTTCACACTGTTGTCCAACCACGGCCTCCAATCATTTCCAGAACTTTTTGTCTTGCAAACTGAAAGTCTGTATTCGTTAAATAACTCCCTCTTCCCTCTCCCTCCAGCCCCTAACTGACCACCCTTCTTTCTGTCTCTGTGAATTGGGCTACACTAAGTACCTCACAGAAGTGGAATCAGACAGTATTTGCCTTTTTGTGACCGGCTAATTTCACACCGCAGAGAGCTCCCTAGAAGTGTCCCCTCCTGGAGTGATGTACAGCCCGGAAGCCTAAAGCATCCCCAGAATTCCATCCACATATCATTGCTGGAAACACACCCAACCAGAAATAAGCTGGAGCACGAGGAACCACAGCACAAGGTGACATATTAATGATAGGAAAACCTGAATGGAACCAAACCTGGTGACTGAAAAAGCAAGGGGGCCCCTGGCACACGGGAGCCGGCCTGGCCCTCACAGCTGGGCCGAGCTGCGCTCCTCCGGTCCCCCTGCTCACTGTAGTCGTGTCCTGAGCACAGCGGCTCCCGCTGCAAAGCTGGCCAGCACCCTCCCCCGTGAGCCGCTGCCGCCTGCCTACCAGCCCTGGCTGTGGCGCCACCTCCTGGATGTAAATGAATCAAGCCTCTCAGTCTGTCACCCCTGCTCCCTGACGGCACACGGGGGGGCAAACTCTCACTGCTCCGAATCCTCCCCCAAACCCCTCATTGCCGGCCCGCGTCCTGGAGTCCCCCCCAACCCAACACCTGCGAACTGAGACGCCCTACAGTTCCCCCACGCCGTGTGGCCTCCGGGGCTGCAGCAAGGATGAGAAACCCGGCTTTGTGGACTGCAGGCCTGTCTCCTGTCTCCCCCCCCACCCCCACCCCCGAGGCCTCTGATTGACAGGCATCCACAGGACCCTCGAGGAACGCTAAGCGCTGCTGGCCAGCCCCAGGGGAGAACCCTCACCAGCCCAACACTTCTCTCTTTCTGGCACAGCGATCCTCTTTGATAGAGGTCAGCATTGTTCTCATTTTACAAATGGGGAAATCAAGGCTCGGGGCGGCTGGCTTGCCCACACCCCTCAGTAGCAGAGGCCAGGTCTGAGCACCCCCCAAGGCCAGAGCTCCTTCCCACCACGCACTCTTCTCTCTGGAGCTGTGCTCCCGACACAAGCCCAGTTGTTAGAGTGAGGACAGAGGATGAGCCAGCTCACAGGGATGGCGGTCCTGCTCTCGCGGAGACAGCATAACCCCGGGGTGAGCGCTGACTCTGCGGAATGGTCTGGTGGCTCCAGAGGACCTCCCGCAGCAGAGGCTCCGCTCTGGGCACCCTGCAGCCAGCCTTGCTGGGCGCGAGGAGGGGCAGGATTTTCTCCATCTGCTGAGCTGAGCCCCAGTTTGGGGGCACCTGAACGATCATGCCCCAGTGAGCAGATGCCCAACAGACATTTTTCCAGGTACGACCAAAGGCCAGCGTTTACCTGGGTGAGATCTTGGTAGGAACACAGACAGACTTCTACTAGGTATGCGTTTATTTTCACGTGTAACAGGAAAAAACATAACTAGCACATCACCATGTGACTGCGGGATATATTGCATAGCACAGGACTAAAGTTTGAAGTAAAATTAAAAAGTAGGTGTGAGTCAAAGGAAATCTTAAGGAAAAGAGAAGAGGAGAGCCTCGGTTAGGACAAAAATTGTGGAGGTGGTATGGGAGGGCCCCGAGTGTGGGGCTCACTCCCCAAGCTTTGAGTAAGAAGCTGGGCTCTGCTCTGAGGCCCCTAAGGGGCTCTACAGAGAAACCCCGCTCCCCGCCCTCGTACTTGGAGCCCAGGGCATCCGCAGAGGAGCGTGTGCTGCATCCAGACGACCCAGCGAGGCAAGTACTTTGTTTTCTTCACGCCCTACAGAACGTCTTAGAAGTTACAAAGCAACAGGAGTGCCTGGGTTGTCTCAGTCAGTTGGGTGTCCGACTTCCGCCCAGGTCATGATCTCACCATCCGTGAGTTCGAGTCCCGCATCAGGCTCTCTGCTGACAGCTCAGAGCCTGGAGCCTGCTTCGGATTCTGTGTCTCCTTCTCTCTCTGCCCCTCCCCCCACTAGCACTCTGTCTCTCTCTCTCTCTCTTTCAAAAATAAAATGAAAACACTAAAAAAAAAAAAAGTTACAAAGCAACAAAGTGATTTTCCTTAAAAGGGAAGGAGAATCTTCTAGGTACAGCCTTGAGGAAGCAGTGGTCATAAGGCAGCCTGCGTTGGAGGGTCCAAGTGGGACTTGGGGGCGGGGCATAAACGGGGGGCTGAACAACCTTGGCACTGTCCTTGGAGGAGTGTGTGCATGTGGGGGGGTTTGTGCGCACGGCCCCCGTCAAGGCTGTAGGAGGAAAACTCAGAGTTCCTGGTACCCTGTTCCCCAGCAAACTATTGGCACTTCATCAATGTCTGTTGAATCACTGTCGCACATGGGAGGAGCGCCAGAAGGCAGGGCAGAGGGGTTGCTGACGTCCTTGGACGTCAGCATACAGCACCCTCTCCTCCTGCCCCTGCTGTTCAGGTTCATGCCTGAGTCTGCTGCCCACATCAGCGTGACATGTCCCCCCAGTGAGAAGTCCACGGTTGCCACCATTAGGTCACATTCTTGTACATTTATGAAACATTTCCTATTAAGATCCCCACCTCGCCCCAAATCCAAAGAATGTTTCTCATCATATAAATCTCAAAATTAAAAAAAAAAAAAAAAAAAGGGCTGTTAAAGGAGGACCCTGGAGTTCTACTCAAACGGCTCAGTCCTGCAAGCCAGAGCTGGTCTTACGCTCCCTACTGGACAGCTACAGGGTGTCATCTAAAGACTCACCCCAACTCACCCATGGAAATGGGGGTCAAGGCCAGTGCTCGAGAGGGGCACGACCCTAGGAGATGGGAAACCTGGACATGATGTTCAAGGTATGGAAGCCTTCCAGAGCCCAGAGGGCAGAAGGAGGAGTGGGAAGTCTGAGGGGCACTGTCCAGCAGCCTTTGAGCTGGGAGGGGGGTGGGGCTGGGCTGGCTCAGCCCCTCCCATCCCGGACATGGTGGGCAGAGCTGCAGGCTGGCCCCTGTCATGGCTCAGAAGGAGAGTGTGCAAAAGTGGGTCAGAAAGGCAAACCGAGTCGGGAAAGGTCCTCCCCCCCCGCCCCCAGTCCAGGGCTAGTGGGCAGCTCACGGCCCCAGGGCCCAGTGGGGGCCCTCAGCAGCACCCTGCAGCACTCCGCTCCACGTGGCACGGCTTGCAGAAGAGACGGTTGTTCAGCGGGTAGCAGCCTTGGTCTGTGGGCTCCACAGACAGGAGGGTCCTGCAGTCCTGCGGGAAACGAGGCACAAGTGGATGGACCCCAGCCTGAGCCCTGCAGCCCGGAGCCCGCACGGGGCGGGGTCTCCCCCAGCATCTGTGGATGAATTTCACTGAACGAATGTACTCCCTAAGGGTCAGGGAAGCCTAGGGGCACATTCGATGCGGGCTTTCAGCCACACAGAGGTGTGATTGATGAGGGCAGAGTCAGCTGAGGGGAGACCTGAGGACACTCGGAGAATCACGGACACTGAGGGACGATGGAAAGATCTAGAAGGGCCTTAATGAGCGCCCGGCAGCCCTTTGAGAACATAAGCTCTGTGAGGCCATAACCCCGTTTACCGCTAGGTCCCACCTAGACCAGAGACTAGTATACCACACGCATACAATAAACACCTGAAGGAGCAACTGAATCTAGTCCAGTCGCTTCATTTTACAGATGGGGAAACTGAAGGCCTGGGGAAGGATGAGAGCTGGTTCCAGAGCTGGGACAGGACAGGTTTCCAGGCTGAGTTCAGTGGTCTCTTTTCGCTCCCCTGTCTGTACGGCTTCAACACTGGTACAAACTTTAATATTTCTTATTTTTCAAATCACCAAAGGATTTTGGATCAAGGAGGATGGGGATTCGAGGCCCAAACCTTGCCCACCTTACCATTCTGCCACAGCCCATACCTCATCGGGGCCTCACCTGTACACACACTGGAGAGGGACAAGGGGAACAGTTGATGTCCAGGGGCCTGGCTCAGGGCACGGCTGGCATCCTCTGGAATCCGCATGGATCAGACCAGAGGGGCTGGTCCCCAGAGAGACAGCTTGGGTCCTGTTGGGTCCTGGCTGCCATCTGGGCCCAGCACAGCCAAGGGAGAAGGGCGCCCTCATGTGTCTCTTCCCTGAAACTGCGCCTCAAGTCCCACAGGGGACTGAAGGCAATTTAATGCCAAGGATCTGTGCTATTTCTAATGGCCACTTGTTTGGTATTCCGAGAGTACCAAGTGTCCAACCTAAGGTCCCCAAGGGCCATATGTGACCTCTCATGTATGTATGTATGTAATCTCTATACCCACCGTGGGGCTCGAACTCAAGACCCCAAGATCAATAGTCACATACTCCCCTGACTGAGCCAGCCAGGTGCCCCTGACCTCTCCTAATTTAGAATCAAGTGAGGAAACACCCCTACTATGACTGAGTCACAGTCTGCGAGGGAGCTGAGGGTTGGTGGAAAGCTGGCTAGACCCGAGTCAGACGGACAAGGGTTGGAACCACTTTTCTCTGCCTCAGTTTATCATCCCTCACCTGAGATGGCACCTTGAAGCCCATTTCCCTCCCCTTCCCTTGAAATGTAACTGCCACAGTCTGAGCTGACTGCTAGCAGCAGGGGGACGACACTCATGGCCACCTTCGCCAAGCTGACCAAGGGCACGCAGGGAGGGCCTATTTGCTCACCAGCCAGGCTCAGGGAAAAGTGAATCACCACTGGGCCTTAATGAGGGCTAGGGTGGTGATAAAAGCTCTTGAATGACATCATTGTTCTTTCAAGATGTGTTATCAGCTGGACCTTGAGCCATAACCAACGCGCAACATAACATGGGCAATATGTCAACTTCTCTCCAAGCCCCCTTGTCACCAGCAGTGCAAACAGCCTCTTGGCTCCAAGCATGTGTATAAATAAGTGCAAAATAAAATAAATGTTTGGAATTGCTCATGGGCTGATTAAGAGATCTCCTCTGAGACGCTCAGAGATTTCCTCTGGGACACCCCACGGATGGCACCCATAAAAGTAGCTACCTTTGTCCCCATCCCCAGAGACGCCAGATCCATCAGCAACATGGGGGTGACAGAGGAAGCGCCAGGGGAGGCCTCTGAGAGCCTCCCCAGCAGGACTGACTCCGTAATTGCAGAGTCCAGGGGCAAAGTGCAAAGCCGAGATCCTTGTTCAAAGAGAAAGCACTTCAAGTCGGTGACAGCAGAGCTCGGAAGCAAGCAGGGGACCCCACTGAGCAGGAGACCCTGTGCAACTCGGGGGGCATTTCTTGCTGGGGCTACAGCACCGCCTTGAAGCAGCCTCCCCATCTCAGCCTCACTCCACCCTGTAGCCTGAGGTCCAGACTCCTTAGCTTTGGCACAGGAGGCCCTTTTCTTTCCTCTGGCCTCATTGCTACCACACCCTTTGGCACATTCCACTACAGACAAACCTAAAAACCTCCCCCGCTCGGATTCTTCAGGCTTGCTTGTGCCACTGTGGGGTTTTACAGGCCTGCGCCTCTTTTTCTGGACTTTCTACCCCCTTCTCTGAATGGCTGGCGAATTCCTGCTCATCCTGCAGGACTCTGGTGAAGCATCGCCTCCTCCACAAGATCGCCTTTGATTCCACCACCCTGGTTGGACTTGACCACCGCCTTCTTTGTCCCAAAGCTGATTTGTACATGCTCTTTCGCCTGGAGACGATGTCTGTGCCGTGCGTCTGCCCAGCATCCCTCCCTTCCTAGGGTTGTAGCAACTCCTGTCTCCTATGGTTCTGCTTTGCCGGCCCCAGGGGTAGGCAATCGTAGCCCCGGCCAGTGATTGGTCCAGAATGGACATGTGACCCAGGCTGGGCCAATCAGAGCCCTTCTAGGGACTACACCGGTTCCCTTGATGAGGTTTCTAAGTTGGAAGATGTGAAAGCTGGATCATCGGTGGCCAGGCATGTATCCGCCTCCTCACAGAGGATGTTAGCCCACAGGAAGAGGAAACAAAGCAAACACACAAAATAGGCAGGACCGAGATGGAGAGTGAGCCTTGATTATCCGATCAATAACCCCACCATCAGCCTTCCCATGAGATTCTCCTTGAGGAAAAGCAGGATGACCTTGGTTTTTATCGTCTCTCGGAGCTTTCCTTATTAGACACTATTTGCAATTATCTCCATTCGTATTTGCCTTCGCTACTGAGCTGTGAGCATTTGAGAGCAGAGCCCCCACCCTGACTGGTCACCGTGTCCTAGAGCCCAGCGCAGGCCCGGCACCCCGCGGGCTCTCGGCAGGGCTCCGGGGCCGGGCGGACAGCGCGTCCCCAACTCCTCATTGCCCTACTCACCTCGCACCTGTAGCAATTTTCATGGAAGTTCCTCCCCATGCACTCGATTTTGAAGGCATCCTTCCCGTCTCGAGGGATGATGGGGTTCTCACAGATGCTGCACACAGGGGCGAATTTCCTAGAGGGAAGGGAACCCACGCTCGAGGCGCTCAGCCCAGGACCGCAGAAATTAGCTGTGGGAGCCGGGGCGGCTCTAGTTGGCCTCCGGAGCTATTTCAGATGTGTTGCCATGTGACTGCACCTGGAGCCACAACCACAAACGCCTCTTTCTTCCTGGCAGGAGCGGATGGAGAGTCCTGTGTAATTGGACCCGGCTTCCCAGGGTATAATCAGCTCGAGCCAAGGAAGTGACTGGGGGAAAGTTTGAATTTGAGAAAGCAGAGAAATCTGCTGTGTGTTCACTGGGGCTTAACCCCGTTTCATTTATCTCGTATTGTGGGTCACTGTTTTTTTTTTTTTTCCCCTTCCTCTTCCCTTTCTTTTTAACAGGCACAGCTGCCCTTGTGCAGTGAGCAACTCCAGGACAGGGGCTGAGCCTCAGGCAGAGCGTGTTCTAAGGCGAGCTACTGGGGTCTGGGGGTTTGAATCGTAGCTTCACACTTATCAGCTGGGAGAATTGTCGGCTGCCTGCCTCAGTTTCCACATTGTAAAACAGAACCCTTCAGAGTACCTGCCTGCCTATTAATCCCCAGGCTTGGGGATAAAAGGGCCTAATCCACACTGAGCAGCTGGCCCGGCGCAGGTACCCAGAGCATCAGCTGCAAGCAGGTGTGTGGGACAGGCCAACTGGTTTCTGGGAGCCCAGAGACCGCAGGAAAGCTCTGCTCCGGCCCCGAGAGCTCAGGCTCGGCGGCTCTGCTCTGGCGGGGCCCCACCCGGTGCGCGGAGTCCCCTCCCGTACCTATAGAAGTCGTCCAGGCAGTACACTTCATTCTGGTTGTCCAGGGCAAAGCTCTCGTCGCCAATGCACCGGGCACAGGTTACACAGGTGAAGCAGGTGGGGTGGAAGGCCTGGCCCAGGGCCCTGATGATGTGTTCCCGGACCACCTCGCCACACTTGCCACACTTCTCCAGAGTGTCCTGGGACAGAGGGACACTGCCTCAGAGCCATCCCATGGGTGTGCTCACTTGAGCCAGAAGGGGTTTCCGGCTGGCTACCCACAGGGGCCCAGAAGGGCAAGGGTACAGGAGACGGGCTCAGCCTGAAACTATCACCCCCAAACCTCTACCGCTGCTTAAAATGAGTCGAGCTTGGCAAGGTATCCTTGGCCCACAGTGAGGAATCCTGCCAAGAAGCTATTACCGCATTTTTTGTTACTAAGACATGCTTAGGGCCCATGTCCACTAGGGCCCATGGGAGAAATCTCTCTTAAACCTCAGAGTCCTGGAAGAGCTGATATGCTTTTGACCTTGTAGACAATCAACCTTGAAACTCTTAACCTTCTCCATCAGGCCACTTGAAAGCTCAGAGGCAGATTCCATGCTCCACCTTTAGGAATGACTATAGGGGTCTTTTATTCATGTATTTGGGGTACTAACTTTCCCTCTGGTCTCATCTCACTTTCTACTTTGATTTTCCTCTCTTCGATATATATA